TCAAATCTTAATGAGAAGAAAGTTTGTGCAAAAGATTTCACAGTATGGACTTCATCCAGGAGGAAGCAGTAAGAGGGAATCTCCCAGCCCTGGATGGCCAAGTCTTGCCCCCTAATTTTTACATTTCACTTTCCAAAAAATGCCTGCATAACAGGGTGGCAATTGAAGCTCAGCAGTAGAGACCCTGGAATCTGTCCCTGGCTCCATAAATCATGTAACCCAAACCAAACACACACACACACACACAATTGTTCCCTCATGCATCACCCCCGCCCCTCCCAACACACCCCCCACTGAAGTGGCTGATGTCAGGTGACATTTCCTCCTCCTTCACAGGCACAGTCTAGGCTCCTGAAGCCCCACCCACTACCTCCTGTCTTTGCTCCACTCTGCTCATCACAAAACAGAACAACACATGCAACCAATTGTTTAGACCCGGGGGAGCTAAAGACTCCGCAGCTATGCCCAGTGGTGCTCAGGGCTCACTCCTGGCTCTGTGCACAGGCGTCATTTATAGCTGTGCTTGAGGGGCCTCAAGTGATGCTGGGATCCAACTGGAATCAGCCGTGTAAAAGGCAAGTGCCTTCACTTCTGTACTAGCTTTCACGCCCACTGAGTTCATATCCTGTCAAAGTCACACAGCCCCACTGCAGGAGTCAGAAAGAAACTATAGTTTTCTCCTGAGGCTTCTCCTGAGGCTTCAGGGACTAGCAGCTTTTGGAGACTCTGTTTTAGGATTTCATCAAAAGGAATGAAATTTGCAATCTGAATTTAACTGGTCTCATCTCTCACTCCTAGAAAATGTGACATTGTCCCTATGCTAGTCCCTAAAGAGTATTCATGTTCTTCAGCTGCACCATTTGGAACCCTAAATCCAACTGTTGGCCGCAATTGAATGAAAATTAAAAAAAGGTAACGCAACTCTCATTTTTCCCAGTCAGCTTTCTTTCCCAGCAAGCAGCAGGCTCACACACAATGTATATACTTGAGACATATTGAGTGCAAATTAAGATGATACACTGTTTATGTTTGATTGATGACTTTAAAATCTATTCTCATTATTGGGGACAAAATAGAATGAGCCATTTATCATATGGATGATGAAAATCCAGCATTAATTCTTTGTCCTGAGACTTCCTTTTCAACCATGTTGATGTACTTTGCAAAACTTTCTGATCCAGAAGTAGGGAGCTCCGGATGGCCCCTGTGACACATCATAAATCTTTTTACCTGAAATTCCTTTGTCGAGGCAGAGTAAATGTCTTTTGTATCATTTCAAATCTTTCTAGAGCAGAAGCACTGTTCTCATGGGCTTCTCTTCCAATGGCAGAGTTTACCCACTAATCAAATTAAGAAGAAATTACCCACATGCTTTGGAGAGTAGGAAAACAATAAACAGTTAGTGGTAGATGTATTGCCTTATAGTTTCCAGCTTTGAGAGCCCTCTTCTTCCATTCCATGGGCCCTCAGTATGTATTTCTGGGAAAATTGGTGAATTGGATGGCTACTTTGTGTGATTTGGGGTCCCTGACATGCTGCTAATGGAATAGACTCTAGATCCTGAAGGGACCAGAGCTGTCTGGAGAACAGCCCTGAAGGTCTGCACTCATCTGACACTGGTAGGGCCTTTGCTTCTCCTCTGCCTCAGCTTCCTGTGACTAATCCACACATATCACCAGGTGCTGCTGGAAATGAAGTTTGCTCTGTGTCTGCCCCGAGATGTGGACTGAATCGGAGCAGTGGTAAGACAGAACCATCCTCTGACAGTGGCCAAATAACTGGGCCAACAGGTAAAAGTTTTGATTTCTTCACAATTCCATGCCCTTAGAGAGCAAAGTACAGGTTATTCTTTGTCAAGTGTGATTTTATCTTTGAAGACACATAGAGGAATAGGTGCTTTTTGGATAAAAGTGAGGCCCTGGGACATGGCTCAGCCACCAAGCACCGGCCTTCCATGCACAAGGCCTCGACTTGGGTCCCTGGCACCACCCCATTACACTGAGTATGATTCCTTAGGGACCAAAATCCAGGCCGACCGCAACCAGGTGTGTGAAACCTGGGCATGGACAACAGCAAAAAGTAGGGGGAACACTTAGTTAATAAAAATCTTAAGTGTTTAAGAGAAGTGACTTCATAATCTTGTTTAAGAACCAGGATTAGAGGATGAGCAAGAATCTAGTTTATGAAATCACATGATACCTTCTCCATGGCCAGCATCCTACTGAGGGTTGTAGGGCATACAAATGAAAAGAAAAAGGAAGAGCTAGTCCAGGGATGCCTAGTATTCAAATGCACTACTATAATCTAGTGTGTTACCTGTGATGGCCACTTTCCTACTCTTGAGCACAGGGAAGTTCCCAATATCACTGTACCCTCAGTTTCCTGGGCATGCAAGCAATTCCCACCCCCCACCTTTTGTTTTTCTTTTTGGGTCACACCCTGCGATGCTCAGGGGTTACTTCTGGCTCATGCACTCAGGATTTACTCCTGGTGATGCTCAGGGAATCAAACCCAGGTCAGCCACGTGCAAGGCAAATGCCCCACCCGCTGTGCTATCGCTCCAGCCCCTGAGTAATCCCCCTTTAGCGCCACCTTCAGACAACCACTGCTAAGTGACTCGATTTCCTCTGCTCTCACTTTTGTTGGACAACACAAGAGGCTCGTGATCAGAAACATCTTCCTAGAGAACCAGCGAACCGAGAAAGGGCCAGGGTAGGGCTGTCAAGAAATCTTTTAAAGGCCGTTTCCAACATAAGATGATCTTTCATTGAATTTTTGAAATGAAAACTTCCAAGACTTCATTTGGAAGAGATTATACCTCACCAGACAGTTCACTGTGGATCTGGTGTTGGAGGCATCCCTCAGAGGGACCCTCTTTCTAATACTACCTCATTTATTCTAAAAAAAAAAAACCTGGAAAAAGTCCCCCTGAAAAGGTGCCCCCGAAATAAAAGCAGGCAGGCATGTGGAAGACGGTGAGAGCAAGCTTGCTAGAAAGCCACAAACATCTTTCTATATTTAGTAACCCATATAAAGGACAATACTCAGAAAAACACCACAGAATCCCCAAGGCCCTGCGAAGAGACAAGAAGATGATAAGAGAAGACAGGTCCTTGGTGAGGAAAGCGACCTGTGTGAACCGAAGTATATTTGAGTGGAGCTTGTGACATGAATTTCCAATGTCTTCAACGTTGGTCGGATCTCAGCGGAAGGAGTTCCTGGCTTGAACACCCCATTGAGAAAATGTCTCTTTTGATACTGAGCATTTAGAAACATGGTAGACAGCTGAGAGACGTGGAGCTGGGTCTGCAACCTCAGGGAAGAAGCAGCATGCAGCCAGAGTTTAGGATGGGGAGAGGAATGAAATTCTTTCTGGACTGCTCCAGAAAATCAAGAAAAAGGTAAAGTGTGAAGATTCAGATCAGTCCGCTAAAAACCCACCCAGAAGAACATCATGGGAATGCTCTACCATGGGAAGCACCATTTCCTTCCCTGAGAGCTCAGTAACCCTCAAGAACGCTATAAAAAGAATCCTTGCTTCTTCTATAAAAAAACACCCAGGTGTATTTGAGGAGGTGAATTTGGTAGCTGTAACTAAAAGACTTTTCAAAGTGATTTCAAAATCTAGAACTTTCTGACTTTAGAGAAATCCAATGAAGAAAAATAAAAGCAGAACCCAAGAAAGGAAGATGGAAAACTTTGCAGTTGACCGTGTATTTTCAAGCATTTAGTCAGTTATCAAAGAAAGAATAAAGGCAAGTGTGACAGGCCCTAACTTCTGGCACCAGAAATGACTTTATTAGCCAACATTCTTTTCCTAAGTGGACAGGAGTTTCTTCCTAAATGCTTAATCTGACGTTATAACACAACAGATGATGCTTCCCTGGTCTGTGTTGAAACCTTGACCCTCCCAGGAGAGAGGAAATTACTTTGCTTTCTCAGATGGCCCTTAATAGAACGACCAACCCTCCCCCCTCCCCTCAGATTCAACACCAAGATCCCATTCTGACTTCCAGAAAAATGTATAAACTCTTTAGACTCATGAGCTCTAACTGTGAACACAGAATCTTATGCAAACCTAGGTACAGTCCTGATTTTTACATTGTTTCAAAGGAGCCAACTCCCTCCCCCCTCAAAGGAGCCAATTCCCTCCCAGATGTCACCTTGGGCAGATCCCTACCTCCTCACGATGCCTCTCCCATAACCAATCCATTCTCAGTCTACCATTTTACTGCAGACCTGCTTTCAATGTCATCCAATATCTAAAGTGCACCCACATCTCTGGGCCTCTCACTGTTGCAGAAATGGTTCCCCAGTACCCTCTCATTTCCCAACCTGTTCCAGAGTGAACATTCTACTCAGGTACAGGGGAAGGATGAGCCATACTCTCATTGGTGCTCAGCATTTACTTCTGACACTGTGCTTAGGAATCACTCCTCAGATTGTTTAGAGAACCATATGCAACACCAGGGATGGGACTCTTGTCAGCCACACATAAGGTAAGCATCTTAACCCATGTACTATCTCTCTGGCAACATAATTATCCTTTTAGAACTTGACCATGACAGTGCTTGAAATCTTTTAGTGACTTCTCATTGCTCTGAAATTGAATGTCAAAGTACTTCAAGCAGCTGTGCCTTTCCAGATGCATTGGCTACCCTCACTACCCTGCTCCAAGCCTCCAAAGGCTGACCTGTCTAGTTCCATCATAGGGCTGGCTCCCTCTTCTCCCAGATGTGGGTTAGCTTTGACCAATACAATAAAGGGACAGTGGCAGGAGATGAGCATCAGGTGGGAGAGGAAGTACCTATTCACTTTTCCTGTTCCCTCCCTTCCGGGTCTCCTGGCCTTCTTTGTCCTTCAAAGGATAATCTGTGTTCCGTGCTGCTGATCCTCTTTGGGCTCTAGAATCATATTACTCCTTTCTCCTTCAGACAGTGGTGCCCATAGGGACTAGCCCTGGCAGCACAACTTAGGGGGTTTTTGTCCTTCCCAAACTCTTTTTTTTCCATAAGTGTATAAACTTTATTACAGACAGGCTTACAGATTTATTTCTTCTTGGACACACCCACAGTGTGGCCACGGTGTCGGGTGGTCTTGGTGTGCTGGCCTCTGACACGAAGTCCCCAGAAGTGGTGCAGCCCCTGGTGAACCTGAATCTTCTTCAGTCTCTCCAAGTCTTCCCGGAGCTTATTGTCCAGACTGTTGGCCAGAACCTGACTGTATTTCCCATCCTTGACATCCTTCTGTCTATTCAAGAACCAATTAGGAATCTTGTATTGGCAAGGATTCTGCATAATGGTGATCACACGTTCCACCTCATCCTCAGTGAGCTCTCCGGCCCTCTTGGTGAGGTCAGTATCTGGTTTACTCAACACCACATGAGCAAACCTTTGTCCCACACCCTTAATAGCAGTGATGGCAAAGGCTATTTTCCGCTGCCCATTGATATTGGTGTTGAGTACTCGCAAAATGTGCTGGAACTTCTCGGGGATCACTAGAGACATTGAGGCAGCACAACAACAGCGTGTAGGCCTCCTGTGAAAGCTCAAACTCTTAAATTGTCTTAACATGTCACTCTTTCAAGAAAATCATTCTGGAATGTCCTATAAGAATCATATCTGCTTCAGGATGGATTTTATAATGCCTATGTTGCCCAGTCCTCATCATAAAATGGAAGGATTAATTCTGTCATCTAACATCTAGAGTCAGCCTTTGCTGTGCCAATGAGGATCATCTGTATCTCAGCCATTCAGCTCCTGGGAGTCATCACTTACAGGAGTGCAGTAGCCATTTATTTTATTTTTTAATTTTTTAATTTTTTGTGCTTTTTGGGTCACACCCGGCGATGCTCAGGGGTTACTCCTGGCTCATGCACTCAGGAATCACTCCTGGTGGTGCTCGGGGGACCATATGGGATGCTGGGAATTGAACCTGTGTCGGCCAGGTTGGCTGCATGCAAGGCAAATGCCCTACCCGCTGTGCTATCACTCCAGCCCCAGTGCAGTAGCCATTTAGCAAATGGATGGGAGGAGTGTAGAAAGAAGGGCGATGCAGGGAGGAAGGGAAGGAAGAAATGGGAGTACCCTGGTCAGTGTGACAAGAGCAGCCCCACCAGGGGCTTCCACAGTGCCAGGCCAAGAAGTGGGACAGCAGAATGTCCTCTTATTGGAAGGATCAAATTGGCAAAATAGGAATTAAAAAACTGGTTTAGCAGGAACATTTGATGAAGATTATTTGTCAAAGAGAGTATCTTCAATTAAGTGCATTTTTAAAAAATGACATTTTGGGGCTGGAGCAATAGCACAGTGGATAGGGCCTTGACCTTGCACGCGGCCAACCCCGGTTCGATTCCCAGCATCCCATGTGGTCCCCTGAGCACCGCCAGGAGTGATTCCTAAGTGCAGAGCCAGGAGTAACCCCTGTGCAGTGCCGAGTGTGACTCAAAAAGCAAAAAAAAAAAAAAAAGTAGACATTTATTTCCACCCCCCTTCAAAAACAAAAAAGTCATTTTCTGTCTTACTGTAGACCAAGCCACCACAGGCCATTGCAATGTGACAAAATTTGACAAAGGCATCACACCAAGCTGTTTTCAAAGGAGAAATGCTGTTTTTTCCCCCTCGAGACTCAGCATGAGGAAAGCACTTGCCTCATTTTTTGTAGTGTCTTACTTGGGAATGATCAGGTGCCACCAAAGCAGAGACCCATGTGTCTCATTCCAGACCCATGAGGAAGAGAGAGGAGTGGCCCCTGCAGGCATGGGGGCCCACAAAGGACACAGGACTGGGACGTGGGCAAGACTCTCCTTTGAAAAGAGAATGTGAAAACCAAGAGGAAGGACACTCAAAGCAGCCTCTGCACTGTCACAGTGAGGAGAGCACTCCAAACTCCATTGTCCTTCCGATAGTAACAGGAAAGGAGCAAGGAAAAATGGAAAGAAAGAAATACAAAGGTTGAACAGGCAATGAAGCAAGCGATGTGCAGTGACAGGCAGGGATGGTGCAGGCCGCGGAGGGGAGACAGCTGAGAGGCTCCAGAGTGTGTGCAGGCAAGGTCTCCGCCCTGGACATGGCATTCTACACTGTAAACTTGGATGCCTGAAAGGAGCGGGAAGCAGAATACCATCCACTGACCACCTGGAGAAGCCAGAAGGGGACCAAGGAGGAGGACGGGCCGTGGGCAGGACAGGACATGGTTCTGAGCATTTGGCTGTTTTCTAAGCTGGTCCTTGAGCTCCATGAGGCCTCTGCTGCCTCTCAGGATGGATGTCCTCAGGCCAAGCATCAGGTCTGACTGCCACTTGCAGACCATCACCCTGGGCCCTTGTTTAAATTCTGACTTTGGTGCAGTAGTGGGCTGGAGCCCAAGATTCAGGATTCAGATCCAGCCCCAGGAATATTCAGCAGGCCCCATGGGTAAGTAGCCGGGGCCTGTACAACACAGGGGCAATCATTCTGACAAATGACACTGGTCACGAGACAAGAAAGGTGATCTCTCTCTTTTATTCATCTGCCACCACAGAGGAAGTAAGCTGGCTGCAGAGGACAGCTGGGTGCACTGAGACAGGTCCGGATGAGCAGTTAACAGTCAGGGCCATGGATGCTTCAGACTGTCTGATTCTTTTAAGAGTGAAGACAGACTGACAACGAGGAGCCCCCATTCTCTCGGGGACAACACCCAGCGAAGTTGACTGGAGGCTGCCCAGTTGATGGCTTCTCCCTCACACAGTCCAAGCTCCAGTTATATCCAGTGACTTCCAGCTGTTACAGTCCCTGACTCATTCCTCTTTCCCTCCGGGTTTGTGAATTCTGCCATACTGGTTCGAACCAAGAGGCAAGAGCATCTCACTTCCAACAAAGTTCTTTTTAGCAATCAACACAATTCTCAAATTCGGAAAACCAGGTACAGGGGCTGGAGGACTGGAGAAACAAGTGAACAACAACAACAACAACAAAAAAAAAAACTCTTATTTGCTACTGCAAGATGGAATTGCCTCTCTGCAGACAAGCAATGAACGGGAAAATACAAAAGCAATGAACAGGGATGGGATTAGTAGGTCCACTCACTCTATTGTGGGTAGAGTATTTTCATGGCCTAAGAAGGAACAGGACAGTCATGTTCAAGGACAGTTGAGAGATCCAGATGGTGATAGAAAATTCAAGCCACAGAAGTTGAAGATCAAATAGGTTATGGTGAGTTAAGTGGTTGGGAAGGGAAAGGATAACCGAAGCCAAGAAAAAGTAGAAAGATAATGCCTCCTACCTAAGCCTTCTCATGGGAATTGGTAAGTTTACAAGCCTGTGACTTGAAAACATTAAGAACAAAAAAGAAGCATTCAGAGCAAACAACAGAAAGCTGAAATAACTCCTTTTTCTTCCCTGCGATCTTTGTGCAAGCTCGCCTACTGGTTTGATTTGCACTATTTACTTCTTTCTTTCTTTCTGTTCTCCTTACATATTTCTCTCCCCCACACGTAAGACTTTGAGAAGAAACTCAGGGGGAAATGTTTCCCTTGCATAATTCTTTCGTGTTTTGTTGAAATGGTATTTGCAGCACAAGCAGCGTGCTTGCTGAGGGAACATTTCTGCTCTTGTGAAATGGAGAAGGTTGGCATGAAAGGCACCAGATTCAAGTCACCTCCTTCCGGACCCACAGCCCAGCACCTCTCACCTAGAGCTGACCTCTCACAGAGGCGAGTCTCTGGTTCCTCATCTTCCCAGTCTTCCCCTCGGGCCCATGGGCAGTTTGCCCTTGCCCTGAGCTCTTCCTAACGCCCCAGCAAGCCTTTCAGGCTCATTCTGCAGTTGTGCCCCAGACCAGACAACCTAGTGCTGGTGTTTGGGCCAATGCTTTCCTTTTCCTTGAACGTTGATTAAAATTTCTCTACCTGGAATGCCATGTGTGTCAACCCCGCTTTCTGAGTTTTGAGGTGGCAAGAGACGGCTGAGGAAAGCCAGGAAGTTTGTGTTCAGCACTGGGCACTGTTTCAGCTGGGCTCTCTGATCTCCGTCTCTGAGCAATGAGGGGAGTAGGCCTGTCTGGGGAGCCTGGGGACAGAGACCACACTGTGGGGCAACTCCCAACAAGAAGAGAAAGCAGGAAGCTCGTTCTGGGGTGACTGAGCATGGGAGGTCGAACCACACATGGGGAGGCTGACGAAGTGTAGCCCGGCCAAACACCTGTCTCCACACTACAACTTGCTTTTGTCTTTTGCAATCGATAAAGCAGTGTCCAACAGAAAAGGTCATATTTGAAAATCGGCACCAAAGGTGTTTTAAACTCAACCAGTTTTCACTGAGGTCAACAGAAAAGACCATTATGATAGAGGGTCAAGTGGTATGAGGGAGTAAGCATAGTGTATGGGATGATAATGGGGAAATAGAGTGACTGGGCCACACATCAACACCAGTCTTTTTTTTTTAAATGAATGCACAAGCTTTCAGATGACTCCAATGAGTCATCATCATCATCAATAAAAATTGATGGTGCTCCCTGACTTCAGCCAGTGCACCAAAACCTGGCTTCCCCATGACCCACACACTGCTGACCGGAGCATTGGGACATTTTCCTCCCCAGGGAGGGACAAATCCTCCCCTCTCTTTCTCCACTGGTCTGCAACTATAGGGCATAAGGACATCCTTTCTCTCTCCAACTCCTCTCGAATTTCCTTCTCACCTTTTGCCAAGTTTGCTTTCTATGGCCAAGTAACTGCCCTCTGTGCTGTATTTTCCTGGACCATCTTCTCTTTATTTGCCCATTATCAATTCCTCAGGCGCAATTATTTCTGATAATTGGTATTTTCATATTTGCTGAGCACAAACAGGGCTCAGGATGCCAATAGTTGGCCGTGTCCTGGGTATCTCCAGCTCATTTCCAGTGAGCGCCTGTGAAATGCTTAGCCCACCACATTCTGCTCTGTCTGGGAACTGCTGATGCTGCGGAGTCTCTTCATAGAATGTTCAAGTTGTCATTTTCCCCTCACGCCCCAGACTCAGGTTGGATGATTACTCTCTACTTCACTTCTCTATCGTCAACCCAACAGGCTGATTGAGTCCAGGTGCCCCTGCAGATAAATAAACTCACCACACATAAATCTGCTCTGAGGTTCACTATCTACCTGGGTTAGGTGATAAAAATGATATGTCGCCTAGGTTTGTGATTGATGGAACAAAGATTGCTTTGAGAAATCAACACACCAATGAGCAGAGGGGATAAAAATAAAAAACAAAAACCCTCCCAAACTGTGTCCCTGAGAAGCAAGGTCAGGACAAAAATCTAATCCAACTTGTACGCATGTACAGTTGGCTGCTCAATGCCCCAGTGAAGGTTTCCAGGTAGAAAACCCCAAACATGCGAGAACCCAGCATGGCGAGGGAAACTGCATCTGGAGGGGAGGCCTTGGGGGGCGTGGCAGGGTGCTCACCCACTTTCCTTGGAATCCAAAGGACAAAGCATGTCCTAGACAGAAGCCCGGGCTTCCGATCTGACTGGCATTTCCGTGACATTCTCCACACCGTCAGAGGCTGACTCCGAGCTCAGCC